AGCAACTACAACTCCCAAATAACAAAATCATAATTTTTGAGTGATGGTCACTCCTTGTGTTGTGAGACATTTTGTTGCCAAATTTGGTGTGATTTCGTTCATTGGTTTTTTAGTTTTTAAAGTACTCATTACGCACAGAGCATTTATAGATAGATAGACAGATATTGTTTGAGGATTATACTTTTTCTTAGTTTTTGTAATGGTGATCTCATGGGTAACCAATCATGGGCAGCCAATCAGAAGTATTTCTCTTTTGACAAAGCAGTTGGGGAATTGGTTGGCCACTGCACAAGGGCTGAGATCAAGGCCGTGGCGCCTTTCATAACACCATCTGCATTATTAATATGTTGGCCACACCCAAAATATACACTGTATTTACTGTATTTATATTATACTATATAGATTTTGTGTCTTGAAAATAAAGAGAAAACTACATTCCAGACTTCTATTTTTTTTTTCTCAACACTTAAATGTAGGGAGCAGAGAACTAAGCTCATTTCTTAAAGTTCATTAGCCTTATTTGCCTTCAAGTCAACCCCAATTTGTGAATGGGAGATCTCCAAGTCACTTGCCTGTATCAACATTCCGGTTTGGGTCTTAGAAACTCAAAGCAGCCATAGCTTTCAAACGAAGTGCATCCTCCCTTTTTTCATACCATCTTCCACTTTACCAAGCACTGTCATCGTTTCAAGCAAGTCATGTTGTCTCATGTTGCAGCAAAAGCCTTGTAAGAACCTCAGTTTACCCATCTTTGTTTCGAACCATGGCTTTCAGGCTGGATTCACCCATTTCTTTTTCTTAGTAGTTCATAGGAACTGCTGAACTCTTCTCCAGCACCAAACTTCAAAGGATTCTGGACACCACAATTGAGGGGACATGTTGACAAGCTGGAAGGTGTCCAGAGGAGGGCAACTAAAATCCTCAAGGGTCTGAAGAACAAGCCCTATGAGGAGTTGCTTCAAGAGCTGGGCATGTTTAGCCTGCAAAAGAGAAGGCTGAGAGGAGACATGAGGGCCATAGATTAAGAGGTGAGGGGAAGTCATAGGGAGGAGGGAGCAAGCTTGTCTTCTGCTACCCTGGAGACTAGGACACAATGGAACAATGGCTTCAAGCTACAGGAAAGGAGATTCCATCTGAACATTAGGAAGAACTTCCTGACTGTGAGAGCTGTTCAGCAGTGGAACTCTCTGTGCTGGAGTGTGGTGGAAGCTCCTTCTTTGAAGGCTTTTAAGCAGAGGCTAGATGGCCATCTGTCGGGGGTGCCTTGAAGGCAATTTTCCTGTTTCTTGGCAGAATGGGGTTGGACTGGATGGCCCAACTCAGTGATCTCCCAACTCAGTGATTCTATGATTTTTCTTCCTATCAGTTTTCTTCACTATCCATCTCTCACAATACATAGAAATTGGAAATACTACGGCCTGGTTGATTCTGGCTTTGGCATTTGATGATAGGTCTTCATATTGGAAGACATTGTCTGGTTCCTTCACGGTTCTTCAAGTCTTCTTTGGAAGCTTTGAAACAGAAGCTGGGTGGCTATCTGTCAGGGGTGATTTGAATGCAATATTCCTGCTTCTTGGCAGAATGGGATTGGACCCATGAGGTCTCTTCCAACTCTTTGATTCTATGATTCTTCTGATTTCATGACTGCAATCTCCATTTTGGTTAATAACTGAGCCAAGGTATGGAAACCTGCAGCTAGTATTTAAGAATTACTTCTCCCTTCCGTTTTTATAAAGCCACTGAGGGAGTTTCTTTTTAAAATGATACGATGGAATTTATGTCAGCAATAAAGTCAGTCTTCCTGAAATAAAAGCACCGTGGTTTTAAAGTATTTACTCCCAAATTTAAGCCGAATAATCACATTTTCTTAGCCACAGGGCCCACGCGAAGGAACAGTCCTCTGAAAAACCACTTCAATTAGGGGCTTTCTTGTACAGAACAAATTGGATAAAGGGACCGAACTAAAGTGGAACGACTAACAGTATCAAGAAGGCAGCTGCAAAGAATATCTCTGTGGATAATGCTGTTTCGAAAAGCTATGGCAATTTGAATGTTACTTTCGTACTCATTCAGGAGTGAGCCCAAAGATCCTTCCCACATTAATCCCACTGCAATAAATGTTCATAAGCACACATTAGAAATTCTGGACAATCTTCCTCTGTATTTGTCCTCATAGCCACTTTATATGCTAGGTCAAGAAAGCATTATCACGGGGTGCCTGCGCCCTACACCACTGGAGAAATGACACTGTTTAGCTGGTATTGCACCACCTGACATCCGCCGGGAAGTAGCAGCCAAAAGTCAAAGGACCAAGGCAGAGACATCTCCAGCTCATCCCTTGTTTGGGTATCAGCCAGCACATCAGCGACTTAAATCAAGAAATAGTTTCCTAAGATCTACAGAGACACTCACTGGAACATCCCAGCTAGCAAGAGTCCAAAAGTGGCAGGCTTCAACCCAGAACCTCAACCAATGGCTGATATCAAATGAGAGACTCCCCCCTGGGCACACAGGAAACTGGGTGACTTGGAAGGCGCTGAACAGACTGCACTCTGGCACCACGAGATGCAGAGCCAACCTTCAGAAATGGGGCCACAAAGTGGAATCCACGACATGCGAGTGCGGAGAAGAGCAAACCACTGACCACCTGCTGCAATGCAACCTGAGCCCTGCCACATGCACAATGGAGGACCTCCTTGCGGCAACACCAGAGGCACTCCAAGTGGCCAGATACTGGTCAAAGGACATTTAATAGAATACCAAGCTTGCAAATTTTGTGTTTTGTCTGTTTGTTTGTTTGTTTGTTTTGTTCTGTTAGAAATGTAATGCAATTGTCTGGTTGCCCCTGACACGATAAATAAAATAAGGAAGCTCCCAGCTCTATTTTTGTCTCTTTCCTCCAGATCTTAGTTTACCAATATCCTAGTTTAACACTGGTTTCTAGACTGGACATAGGCAAACTTGGGCCCTCAACTCTCAACTCCAACTCCTCAACTCCAACTCTCACAATTCCTAACAGTTTATCAGCTGTTAGGAATTGTGGGAATTGAAGTCCGAAACACTTGAAGGGCCCAAGTTGGCCCTTGCCTGGCCTAAACACAGGGTTCTGGATCAGACCTCACCAGGAATAGTGCCCAGTTTTGGACACCACAATTTAAGAAGGATATTGAGAAGCTGGAAGGCTTCCAGAGATGTAAGAACCTTGTGTTCTATTGCGCAGGAGAACAAAACAGGAACAAATGGACTCAAATTGAAAAGGATTCCACCTAAATATTGGCAAGAATTTCTTTACTGTAAGAGCCGTCTGTTCCACTCGAGCCTTGGGACACCTTTTCACCCAGCACCACACCAGAGACCAGTAGTAACTAAATACAGCAGATTATTAAGAAAAGTGTATACAAAACAGAAAAAAGCAGTAGAAATGGTGCTATACAATAGCAGTAATCCATATATACAAAGATCAGTAGTCCAAAATAGCAAGGTAGATGGAATCCAGGAAGTTCAGATCACAGGCATAAATCCATAAGCATGAAAACAGGAACTTTTCCAAAGCAAAACTCTTTCATGAAAATATAGGAGACTTGAATCGAGAGCTTGAGAGCTGAAACAACAACTTGAATCTATGGCAACGTTGTCTGCTCTGGAGACACCAAGTAAACATCACTTAATTTAAACCCATTCCCAGCCAAGAAGCCATGAGGTCATGCCTCTGACACCTGTGTTTTAAGGAGTTCTCACATGCCTAATTAATCTATCCCTCACTCCCTCTATGCAGAGGCCTAATCTGATATCTCGGAAAAACTCCCCATGTGCTGAAGGCCAATTCACAAAAGAAATTGACTTTTCTCCTGTTGCTAAGGAACTAACATTGGAATCCCAAACATCCTCTGGCTCTTCAACTGCCAGTACTTCTCTATGATCTAAGGCCTGCAATTCACCCTCATCAGTGGGAAACCCAACATTCCCCTCATCCTCTGAAAAATCCTCAACATTTTGCTGTTGAGCCCCAACAATGTCTGACAGTGGAATAGATAGACTCAAACTAAAGACAACCAATATGATCAAAAGTTTGGAAACCAGTCCTTCCTTGGAAATAATTTTGAGTGCTTGATTTAGGATTATAGAATCTTAGGATTACAGAAACTTAAAAGGGACCACAAGAGCATGAGCGTGGAAAGAGATCGTTGCCTCCACAAACCGTCTTCACAAATTCAACCCAAACAAAGAGAGCAAAGAAAATGTCTTGCTTTAGAAGGGACCCTAGAGAATATTTACCCATCAGAGAAGCCAATACTGAGCTGGAGAGGCCAACAGAAGAATTAGCAGAGTACAATAAGTCTCACGTATTTTATTCCTTCCTGAACTACCCTGACTCCCTTATAGACCTCCAACATATGTAGAATATGCAAGATTTTCTTTAAAGGGGGAGTTGGAATCAAGTGGCCCTCTCGACATTTTGGGGCTGCAGTTCCCGTCAGTCCAATCCAACACAGCCAATGAAGGATGATGGGAGCTGCAGGCCAACAGTTTCTTGCAAGCCACTTATGAATCACTGAGGGCCACACTTTTGAAGGCACGAAGCAAATTTAATTTAACTCTCAGAAATGTTTCCGGGCACTGTGCACGATCCTTAATAAATATCTCCATTACGTTACAGTACGTAACCAGGAAATTTATTACGGTCATGGAAGAAGGTTTTTCCCCCCATGCACCCAATCAATTCGACAGTCTGGACTGCTGTTAGTGTAAGGTTAGCTGGCTGGAAGAGACCTTGAGGGTAGTGCACAGAGTTTTATGAAAGCAGTAATTCACCAATTACACCCAAGAAGACTCCAAGTCGTGGCAGTGATTAAAGTTTGCAAATCCAGAAACTGCAAGGGGCCAAGGCGGTTAAAAGGAGTAGCACACCTTTACTCTTTGAGTCCACAATCCCCTTCCACTCCGATGATCATCTCCCTGTTGTTTCTTCTTTTCTTTTCACCAATCTGTCAAATACTTACCTTCTGTTGCATTCCTTTCATAGCTGCACATCTTCCGTTTGGATTATTCTAAATATTCCGGAAAACATCAGATCCTATCAGAAGCTAGCCTGGTTTGTACTTGAATGGGAGACTATGAATGAATACTAGGTGCTGGAGGCTTCATTTCAGAGAAGGAAACTGGCAAAACAACTTCCAAATGTTATTTTCTAAGAAAAGCCTATGAAATGCAAGGGGTTACCATAAATCAAATGGTGGCTTGAAGGTGCATATGGACACACCGATCTTGGAAGCTAAGCAGCGTGAACCTAGTTAGTACTTTGATGAGAGACTCTCAACAAATATGCAAGGGTTGTGGGCTGCATTTCAGAAGAAGGAACTGGCAACCTTTGAGTTTTCCTTGCCGAAGAAAACTCACTGAAATTCACATTGAATCCTAGAGTTGGAAGAGACCTCATGGGCCATCCCACCCAGCCCCATTCTGCCAAGAAGCAAGAAAATCACATTCAAAGCACCCATGAAAAATGGTCATCCAGCCTCTGCTTAAAAGCCTCCATAGAAAGAGCCTCCACCACACTTCGGGGTAGAGAGTTCCACTGCTGAAAGGTTCTTCTTAATGTTCAGGTGGAATCTCCTTTCCTGTAGTTTGAAGCCACTGTTCCATGTCCTAGTCTCCAGGGCAGCAGAAAACAAGCCTGCTCCCTCCTCCATATGACTTCCCTTCGCTTCTTTATCCATGGCCCTCATCATGTCTTCGCTCTACCTTCTCTTCTGAAGGCTAAACATGCCCAGCTCTTGAAGATGCTCCTCATCGGGCTTGTTCTCCATCCAGGGTCCTCCTCTGGACAAATTCCAGCTTGTCAATATTTCCCTCAATTGCGGTGCCCAGAATTGGACACAGTGTGATTCCAGGTGTAATCTGACCAAAGCAGAAGAGAGGGGTAGCATGACTTCCCTGGATTTATTTATTTATTTATTTATTTACAGTTCTTATATTCCGCCCTTCTCACCCCGCAGGGGACTCAGGGCGGATTACAGTCAACACATATATGGCAAACATTCAATGCCAGTTTGACAAACAACATTTAACACACAAATACACCGAGGCTATTTAACTTTTTTCTGGCCGCCAGGGGAGCTGCTGCTTTTCATCGTCCATCAACGACACCGATGAAGTTCTTCCGCATTCCACATTCCCCGGAGTCTTTTTTTTATGGCCTCATAAATTAGTTAAATTTAGCCTCCCACACAAGGTGGTACCTTATTTTCCTACTTGACAGATGCAACTGTCTTTCGGTTGCAAAGGTCGACAACAGGCTACACAATTGGTTGGAAACCCACTCCAACCCGGGCTGGCTTCGAATTCATGACCTTTTGGTCAGAGTGATCTTAATGCAGCTGACACTCAGCCAGCTGCGCCACAATCCCGGTGCTCTAGACACCCGGTGGATCTAGACACTATACTTCTATTGATGTAGGACAGAATCCCATTGGCTTTTTTTGCTGCCGAATGACATCAACAGGAAACTTGAAGGCACTCTTACACACACAAGATTGGACCAGGATCACTTTTTCCCAAATGTTGCCAACTAGAACTTCCAGAAGATAGTAAAAGGAGAATGCCAGGATTCTGGGAAGGGCAGTCCAAAAAGAATCCGAGCCCCTTGGCTTGCTCTCCACCTCAATGCTAGAGATATATGGATGCAATGAAGAGACCACAGTTGGAAACAGCTCAGAGAATCACAGATCTAAAAAAGATCCCAAAGGTCATTCAGTCCAACCTCCTCCTGCTAGGCAGGAAGATACAATCCCGGTGTTCCCAACAGATGGCCATCTAAAATCCGCTCAAAAACCTCCAGAGAAGGAGATGCCAATGGACTCTGAGGCAGTGTATTGCACTGTTGAATAGCTCTTATCATCAAGAAGCTCTTCCTATCGTTTTCATGAAATATCTTTTCCTGCAAATTAAATCCATTGCTCCATTTTTGAGTCTCTAGAGAAGCCGCTCCTCAATGTGTTATACTTTCCAATATTTAAAAATGGCCCGTGTCCCCTTCTCTCAGCCTTCTTTTCTCCAAACTAAACATACCACTCTTTACAGGGTTTGGCTTCCAAACTATCTCAATCAGTGACCCCCAGCATTTTAAAAAATTGGTGGGGTTGCGGAGGGATTATTTTGTCATTTGGGAGTTGTTGTTGCCAGGATTTATAGTTCGCCTATAGTCCAAGAGCATTTTGAACTCCACTAACGATGGAATTCAACCAAACCTGGCACACAGAACTCCCATGACCAACAGAAAATACTGGAAGGGTTTGGTGAACATTGACCTTGAGTTTTGGAGTTGTAGTTCACCTACATCAAGAGAGCTCTGTGGACTCAAACAATGATGTATCTGGACCAAACTTTGCACGGATACTCAATATGCCCAAATGTGAACACTGGTGGAGTTTGGGGAAAATAGACCTTGTCATTTGGGAGTTGAGTTGCTGGGATTTATAGAGCATCTACAATCAAAGAGCATTCTGAACCCCACCAATGATAGAATTGATCCCATACAGAACCCCCATGAACAACAGAAATTACTGTGTTTTCTTATGGTCTTTGGTGACCCCTCTGACACCTCCTCGCAATCCCCCCCCCCAGCCCCCAAGTTGAGAAATGATTATCTAGATCAGTGGTTCTCAACCTGGGATCCCCAGATGTTTTTGGCCAACAACTCCCAGAAATCCTAACAGCTGATAAACTAGCTGGGATTTCTGGGAGTTGTAGGCCAAAAACATCTGGGGACCCCAGGTTGAGAACCACTGATCTAGATGGTCCTGCTCTGGACCCCTTTCATCTTGTCCACCCCCTCCTTGAATTGTGGGATCCAGAAGTGGACACAGGGTTTTTCCAGGTGAGGCCTGACCGGGCAGAATACAGTGGGACTAGGACTTCCCTTGGTCTGGATACAAGACTCCTATTGATGCACCCTAGAATTGAATTGGTTTGTTTAACTGCCACATTCAAATACTGACTCATGTTCAGCATGTGGTCTTCTAAGGCTCCTAGATCCCTTTCACATGGACTGTTTTCAAGCCAAGTGTCACCCATCCTATATCTGTGGATTTCATCTTTACTGCATCAGTGAGGTTCTTTATATCCCGAAGGGGAGGCTATGATCCCAAAGGTGTGCCTTGCCAGCCTGCTATGAATGAGGTAGCCAAGGCACGGCTAGTCAAATTCATTAAATAAAGTCTGATACAATCAGTGGGGAGGGGAACGCGAGGGGAGCTTATACCTCATTTACAGCTTCGCCTAAGAATCAGTCATCAGCCTTGCAGCCTTGGAGATCCATAATGCAAAGGCGGGGGCTGCACAACAGAAGCCAACACACCGTTCCCAGCCATCAATATTGGGAATCGCAGCTGTAATCTGGACTAATGGAATAACACTCAGGAGCGGCATGCAAAAAGGAAAGAAGAAGAAGAAGGGGGGGGGGGGAAGAATGCTATTACTGTGCTTGAGCATTTGCACTATTAAAAAGAGAGAGCCAGATCATTAGGTGGTGACAGAGCTTTCGCCCGGGAGGCACGACAGTTGTATACTTCCTCCTCAGTCTCTAAAGGCTGCGTGACTGTACAACTGAGAGGAAAAAGGGGGGCAAGAGAGAAGGACACTTTCAGATTAAAGGAGGAGGATTAGAGGGAAAAGGTTCAGGCAAAAGGACTTGGTGTCTCATCTAGACTGACTGTTTAATGCAGTTGGGCTACAAGGTCAAATGCCAGGGTTTCTTGCAAACGAAATCAAGCTCATAGTCCAAAGGTCCAACACTGGAGATCCTTACCACAAACCAGAACGAGAGTCCATAAATTCCATATCAAGAAGTCCAAGCCAAGGATTCACAATATAAAGAGGGGCCAAACAAGACTACAGGGACCAAGATCCCACAGAAAGGAGGAAATTATGAAAACAAACACAATCTGGCTACCAGTATTTAAAAACTCAAAAATCATAACAGTAGATAAAGAACAACACTAAAAAACAGAGGCATTCCAGACAAGAAACAATTAGGGCCAGCTAAACATCTCCCAACAAAGGATTCCCCCAGACAGGAAGCAGGCAGACCTTGAAACTGCTAGGCCATCAAATGATAATCAAGGTGGCCAATTGCAACATTCACACCTACCTCAAACAGAGAAGAGTTCTTTCTCCCATCCTGGACATTCCACAGATATATAAAACCCATTTTCCTAGTTTCCAACAGACTTCACAACCACTGAGGATGCCTGCCATAGTTGCAGGCGAAACGTCAGGTGAGAATGTTTCTGGAACATGACCATACAGCCTGGAAAATTCACAACAACCCAATGATTCTGGCCATGAAAGCCTTCGATAATACATGTAACTATACTTAAGGTTATCATTTTGGGTCAAATATTGGCTGGTGGAAGTGGCATGGCAAAACTTTACATTTGCTTCCATTGGAGAGCTGATTTTCCAGCCAAAAAACAAACCACAGAGTCGCAGAAGCCTTGGACAAGGCATCGATATTTTTCTCCACTTCCTTTTTAAAAAATCGCAAAGAGAAGAGTAATGTTTTCAAGGTGTCGCGCTCCGTTCCCCAGGCAAAGGATGCCAGCGGTTCTCCAGCTCCACACATCCTTGACCGTAATAATTTGTTTGCAGTTGTTCAACACCAGCCGGTGAGAGAGAAGAGCCAAGGTTCATCCGTCAGTCTTTTAGGCCCACTTATCCATCTTTCTGATCAATCCGCCCATCTGTTTAATCTATTCAACCTCCCTCCGCACTTCCTTTCACCCATCTGTCTGGGCCCTGTCTACATGTACAGCACAATTTCGGCATCTGTCTATGGAATCTGTCATCTTGCATTTGTCTGCGGCTGGAACTCTAACACAACACACACCGCTGGCATTATGGCAAGTTAATGATGTGCAACAGGACACGTGTTCCTCTGGACGGTGGGAAGATAGAGGACTCCGGCTCTCGCCATTTTCCGTTTGTCAGTAATGCTCAGGGGACCCAAATTGCATAAAGGAGGCTTCTCGCTC